CAAAGCAAAGTGTGCTGCTTATATACTGCCCCATAGCGCTTCGAGCACTCTCTGGGCGGTTTACAAGTTAATTATGCAGGCTACACATTCCCCCCCCCCAGCGATCTGAGTACTCTTTTTACCAACCTGGGAAGGACAGAAGGCTGAGTCAACCTTGAGCCGGCTACCTGGGATTGAATCCCGGGTCGTGAGCACACTTTTATTTGTAGTACAGCAGTTTAACCACTGCGCTACGAGGCTCTTCGAGTTAATACCCTGTGGATGGGTCTGCCTACCAGAATTGGAAAGTAATCATATTTGTGGTTCTCCTGGGTGAGAACAAAACTGGAAATATATGGCAGTGCAGTTGTTAAAAGTATTCCACTAAAACTGGGAGATTCAGGTTCCCCACTAAACCAAGCCAGGGGTGATTTTTGGCCAGCTCTTCTAACTCACCCATGATAGGCATGAGAGAGAGTTATTGTCAGGACAGAAAATGGGCAGGAGGCGAGCAAGGTACACCACTCAGTGGAGGAATAGCGAGATATAAATATACACGAATTATAAATAATAAAAGCAAAATAATCAGAATGAGTTTTGGTGCGAGAGGTCAGGACTTCAAACTGCACCTCTTTGTCTTTCGCCCTGTTCTCTTCTCTCTATTCTGTGGTTATAGGCATCTACACCCCCACTATTTTGCCCAGTTCTCTCCTTCAGTTACTCTGGAAGCGAAATTCAACCCCCGCTCTCAGTCTCCAAAACTACAATATTTCAATCCATTCACTGAATAACTTGGGACCACCTCAGGATGGTGTGGTACTACAAGCTACTCCCATCTGGCTTAATTCTGCCCACTGCATGAAATTCACTGCTGTACCAACTAAGTGTTGCCCTAGGAACAAAACCAATTCGTTGTGAAATATATTTTGAGAATACTGAAGTCCCTTTGTGTAGATGAGAATAAGACATGGCAGGGACCAAACACAAAGAATGTATGTGTGAAGGACACAAAGAACCAAATTATACTGAAGACTGCTGAAACGTTTCAAAAAAGGTATATTTGTTTTATAGAAAGCAAATTATTTTCCATTTGCCAAAGGGCCAGATAAGTGTAAATTTAAAATGGTATTTGAACCAAGAGTTTAGTCTAATTCTCATCCAATACAAATTCTATGCACCCAGAATACATATTATGAGAAAGACATTAATATCAGACTTTTAACATGTACCAGACCCTGTCTTGAGTTTTGTGAAACAAGAATAAAGAATGTACTTCTGATCTGAAGATTGAGAAATTTCACTTTTCCTTTTTTCAAATTTACATCCTGCAACACCTTCCCTTCTATACAAAGAAATTCAGAAAATAAAGGTGGTTCTACAAGCTATTGAATCATGTTACTTAGTTTTTCACACATGGCTTCTCCATTTTGGCTTTATTTTTGTTAAATAAATAATGACATGGTATAAATATATCATGCATTATTTGTCATCCGAGATTGCATTTACCTAGTTTACAGACCTGCTAAGGACCAGATGATTTTTATTATATTCTGGTATGTAAAACCATAGAATTCAAAGAAGATTAGTTTCTTTTTCACATGACTCTATATACCATCTGTTTTAATCCTACACAAAATCTGACTTATAAATATGCTTAATTTTTATCATTTAAATTCTCACTTTATAGATTTTTTTTCCCTCTCTGTATACTTTTATTCCCTCCAACCCGGCCATATCAATGGAAGAGGTTCACAGAGGGAGCCTCTGCTCAACTTGCAGGGATTCCTGTTCTTTGCTGCACCACAGCCTGCCCCATTTAGGAGGGCTACCCGACCCTCTATGTAGCATTTGTGAAGGGGGAAGAATGAAGTGGATACGGTAGGAAGCATGAAACATGGAAATCTGCTTCAGATGGCCTGGTTAACCTCTAAATTTGGATTCAGCCCAATCATATGTTTTTCTTCTGGGTTCAAATTTCATGTCGGCCATAAGTAGTTCACCAGGTGGCGTTAGACAAACTTCTCTTTCTTAGCTTTGGCCCAGAGAGAGTGGTTTGTCTAAACCACATCTACAATAGATCAATAATGACACTGAGCTGTCATAGATGGTTCTTGGAAGTATTTCTGAAATAACATACATAAAGCACTTTGAGAGCAATAAAAGGACTCTATAAATATGAAATATAATGTTTATATTATATATTTCAAATAATAAACAGACACTATTATGCTATTTCTTAATTCATTTTTTACATAATTCTTTTCTTTCTGCTTCTGAAGGTCCCTGGTACACTCTTATGCTGATTTTTGCAGTGGTCTCCTCACTTTGTCTAATGGCAGGACTGCCCCTCATGTCTACCATCCTCTATATATTTTACAAAATTATGTGCCATGAGGTACAACCTGACAGTTTTAAGTAAACATGGATAGAACTGTGCCAAGTCCAACTGTTCCGTAAGGCTCAGACGCAGAAAAATACATATAGAATTGTAACCTGTAAGAACTTTACAATTGGCAGAGAGGAAAGAGAGAAGTGAACAACAGATTTCTAAAATGCTAGGCTCCCGGCCCCTTGCTAAAAAAAAAAATAAAAATGCTCTACCGTGCTGTGAGTCGTGTCTGCACTGCGTAGATATGGGCAAGGTCCAGAGCAGAAGTTGGCGAAGTACCCCTTGGGTTCATGGACCCATTTCCAGCCCAAATCCTGCCGAAAGTCAATGTAGAGACGGCGCACACAACAGTTTTCCTCCAGGTTTCTGTAATAAAAAGGATGGGTATGTCACCAAGTCAAGAGCATTAGAGTGCAAACATGCTCTTCCCCAACTGAAGGAGAAGACATCAGTACAATAAAATGCAATTTAAAAAAAAAAGTCCAGCCTGAGATTGGGAAAATTCTTAGAGTTATGATGTTCACAACTGAAAGGAGCATTGCAAGTTACTGAAAGCTGTATGTCCGAATCAAAAAAAGCACCATCTTGGAGCCATCACAAGTAGTCTAACACCAGAAAAAGCTGCAACATGGGGTTCATCACCTGTGGTTGCAGCATGATTCACAGCTTGTACAGAGCCATCCAGATTTTGTGGATGATAAGAGCTTCCAGCACATTTTGCCATCACAGAGCAAAAAGACAGAAGTGGTGGTGGTGGGGGGGAGGTGAGGAATAGCAGCCTTTATGGCTCTGCACCCGCAAGCAAACACATGGAGCCAGCTCACTCCAGAGGAAGATAAGTAAATCTTCACCTACCGAAAGCAGTAATTGGTATCCAGCGCCCGTTTCTTCCTCTGGCTTTTTAGGGCTGGACTTCCAAGTCGGTGTGGGGGCAGCATCATTAAGATCAAGTGGGGGCTGTGAAGGTCCTTCTGCTTCTTCAGGCTTCCCAGGTCCCCACGTCCATGGCTCTCCTCACTGTCAATGCCTGAAGAGGAGGGGGAAAGGCAGGCATAAATCCTCACAACTGCTCCACAGCAAATGTTGCTGCAGCAAATGTTGAAATGCACAGAAGACACAATGGTAGAACAGCTTGGGAAAGAGTCCAGAAGCTTAGCTACTGGGAAGCTCCTCTCTAAGGACAGCTGCCGTGCCAGCATAAACTTGGTTTCTCTTGGCCTGGAATAAGACTTTGTGGGCCACTTGTTTTATAATTTGTAAACTGGTGGTGGGACCATTCATTTGGCATTTCTGTTGCAGGTTCCAGTCCCGAGACAGGCTGAAAAGATGAATGGCTGAAAGATGACCAGGACTGGGCAGCAGAAGGGATATCTAAGGTACACAGCCTCTGGGCACCAGAGGCCAAACCTAAGGCTAAGAGCCAGACAGTCACTCATGCTGAGCTGAGCCAAGCTCCTGGCTGCCAGTGCCCACTTAGGCAGGTAGCCCAGCTCCTCTGCGCCCACATCATGCAAGGTGGAACCCTTAAATAAAACCAAGCATGCATCCGAGCCAACTTTTCTGGGGGCTGTGGAGACAGAGAAAGAAAGAAAGAAAGACTAGGAGGAGACTTTCACCAAGCATGGACATAACACTGTGTTCACATTCCTCAGCACAATACATAATAGATAGTACAGTAACTAGAATATAATTTTTGTGGTATCACACGGAGCTGGGAATCACCGCCTGAAAATAAAATAAATCATTACTTGTGAGCTGTAGTTTTCAGAGAGCAATGTATCAATTGTAACTCGTGTGTAAAGTAACACGTCACTAAAATTTATTTCTCAAGTTTACTTTTTCCTGTTTTACTCCTCCTCCCCCTCCTGAGATAACTAAATCCTACTCATTCTACAAAATGCTAACATTTAATTTTTGTAATTAATACTTTAAAAAGTAATGATACTGGTCATTAACGAAAAAAGGCAGTGAGCTACTTTTAATATATTAGTACCAATTTCCGGTCTTAAAGTCAAATTACTGTCACTACATTCCACAAAGAAGCCTGGGAATTTTAACTGGACACAGGTAACAAATATTCTGTCAAAGATGCCCAGTCCCCTCACAAAACTACAGTTCTCAAAATTTCTCTATGGAAAGAGGATTACTATTAAAGCAAGGTGTCAGCAATGCACATGTGCCCAAACTCCTGATCCATTCACTGCCTGTCTGCTCTCACCAAAAAACAAACAACCAACCTCCCCATCTGCCCCCATGTAAAAAGAGATGTGTTGTCATGAAACAAAACAATGTTTTAAAATTGTCAGGTCTAGATGAGACACAAATTCTCCTCGTGGCCCATTTTGCAGCTTCCCCCTTTAACTTCTTAGTCACCTTTAAACTTGATCTCCAGCACCTCATGCAGATTTTCTAGAATATCACCATTAGACTGGAAGGTGTTACATGGGCAATGGATGCTGATCTCCAGTCCCAGATTTGACTCTGCTGAGGGAAAGGGAAGGGGAGAGAGAATTCATTAATACAGTACAAATTAACATATCTCCTGTCCAAAAGATCCACCAGCAATTCCCAATTGCTCTTGCCTCATAGATAGTTTATTCAGGGATCCTGCCATTGATCTTATTGTGTATTTATGAAAGGGGACTGGAAAGAGGAGTTGGTCTATGTGTGTTAGGCGTATGAGCCCTCGGTTAGAAATGGCAGACCCATGTTGAATTTTGCTTTCCTGTTCTATATTGCCTAACTGAAACTACCTCATGTTTTGACTTCATTCAGTTGTGCATTTCCCCACTTCTTCTCCACATCACAAGCAAGAGGAGCAAATGGTTAGCACAATGACACTGAAAAAACGAGCAAGCAAAGCTACTAATAAAAATAACTGAATGCATCAAGTCAAGTCTAGCTTATGGTAACCCTTTCCAGGGTTTTTCTAGGTAGAGAACACTCAGAAGTGGTTTATCATATCCTTCTTCTGGGGGTGCCTTTGGAACTGTGCAGCTTGCCCATGGCTACACAGGCTGGATTTCCCCCTTGGAGGCACAGTGGGGAATCGAACTACCAACCTCTGGCTCCACAGGCAGATACCTAAACCACTGAGATATCCAGCCAGCTAAATCAACTACTATTAGCTGCAATTTTACACTCTTGGGTTGCATAGATCAGCCTCATGTTTAACACACGACTTGGCAGAAACTTGTGACAGGCATGCCCTTTTGTTTTTGTACTACTACATCTATTTAAGCAATTGTGTTGGTTAGAAGATATAGAAAATAGTCATAGAACAATACAAATCAGGACACTTTTTAACACTAAAAGCTCAACACTTTAAAGACTTTGATCCTACAGTCACCTGGCAACCCCTCTGATCTGAACAGGACTTACTTTCACATACAAATGAATACAATTGAATTGTACAATTCTTACACAACATCTATTTACTGGCTTTGCATGTCAATTAACACGAGGAAAACATTTCCAGGTTCAAATCTTGTGCCACTGAGCCAGAAACCCAGCAACAGAAGAACCAAAGTGCAGCAAAAGGGTTTTAGACAGAAAATTACTACCCAAGTTTAACCCATACGTTATTTGGACACTCAACATGCATTGCAGAGTCATAGAATTTTAAAATTCTTGGCAGAGACTTTGATGGATCTGGGAAGCAAGAGAATCAGAACAAACACATATTGGACAAGCTGACATTTTATCAGCTACTGCCAAAGGAATTGTCTGAAGCTCCTGAGGATGGAGTGAGAAGCACCCACTGGATCTCAGCACCTGTCTAGTCTTCCCAACTTGTGGCAGCTGCTGAATCCCATAGCCTGAATTCTGTAGCCACATGCATTTCCCCCTGTGATTCCTCAGTGAATGTCAGGCTGTGTAGCAGCTGCTATGCTGCAGAAGCCATCAGGTCCTGAGCAAGTTACCTGCCTGTCATTGGTAGCACTAAGCACCAACTATATAACTAGTTGGTTATATGTGATACTCTCTTGAACAGTAAGATGTCATAGACTTGGCCTAATAATGGCTGGGAAAGTGTGTGATACTCTCTTATTAGACTTGGCCTAATAATGGCTGGGAAAGTTCCCCTTTTTTGGACCACAAACAACCATGGTATGCAAAAAAAAAACTATTTTTCCCAAGCTCTGGTTGAGGCCTTAGACAAGCCAGTGCCTTAATCTTGAGGGAGGGAGCACACAAGCCATTTCTCCTTCTAGAATCCCTTGCCTGCATTCCACCTTTAGACTGATCCTCAGATACTACTATAGCAAGAAAAGGAGACCAGCGCTGAGTCTCAGGGACTATGAAACCTTTTGATATTCTTGCCCTAAGCTACCCTCACACCCAGCGGCACCTGTTTTCACTGAGCAGCAGTGAAGGCTAACTTCTGCACATTGCTTTACTCAGAACTCCTCTAAGACAAATGAGACATCTCTCCTACAGCATGGGAAAACTTCTCTCTCTTTTTAACTACAACTATCCTACTGGCAGAGGATTTCTTAGCAATATAGTTCAAAAGAAGTAACTTTCCCAGTATCTTTATCCAGCATATGTCATGCAAGTGCTTTGGGAATTGGAAGGGTGTGATACAAGGTGAGTTGCTGACAGCTGATGGATCTAGATTGGTCAGAACATCTATTAACTAGGTCATGGTAAATTTGCTGATATTCTCCTGCCTTTACTGAACTCTCAGGTTGTTCCTGGTTTTCCCTCACCTCTTGTAAGAGCTCCCCAGTTCATATTGATATACAGTGGTGCCTCAACTTACGAACTTACCAACTTACCAACTTAATTGGTTCCAGAACTCCGGTCGTAACTCGAAATGGTCGTGAGTCGAATGCATTCCATAGGAATGCATTTAAATGCAATGAATCCATTCCAGCCAAAGGAAAAAAATCACCCCAGAAATCAAAACTAAACAAAAAACACTACAAGACCCATCAGAAATGCGATTACTCCATTCCGGCCGAAAGGTGAAAGAAAAAGAAAATCAAACAAACTGTGCAAGACCCTTCGGAAATGCAAAAAAAAAAAAAAAAAAAAAAAAGGAAAGCAAAAAGCAAACAAACCCTGCAAGACCCATCGGAAATGGGGGGGAGAACACCCAAAACAAACAAACCCTGCGAGACCCATAGGAAATGAGAAAAGAAACCCCAAAAAGCAAACAAACCCTGCAAGGCCCATCACAGCATAGAAACATAATCCCATCACCCAGCCCAAAACCATGCTGCAAAACCCACCCAGAACAATTTTAAAAAAATAGAAAGCAGCACCTTACCAGGCAATCCAAAGCCTCCTCTGATCATACACACTCTAACCACTGGGGCAAAAGAGCTATAAAGAAGAGACTCTTCGCCACCAATGATTAGCAATTTGAATTCCCCGCCTTTTTTCCTTGCCTTTTTCTGGTTGCGACTCGAAGCTCCAGTCGCAAGTAGAAGCAAAATTGCGGCTGGAGCTGGTCATAATTTGAAATGGTTGTATGTCGGGATATTCGTAAGTCAAGGCACTGTACACTGTATTATATACAAACTGCTGGCCTGTGCATGGATATTTGAAAGGGGAGAGCAGCAGCCAAGGTACTGGTTGGTTCTTGTATCACCCTTAGACAGCTGCTGAGGTCCTCTGTCAATAGTGAAGCCTCTCAATGTTTGCTTGGGCCTCTGCTCTGAGTTTCTGAACTGTATCCTAGCTTTCCTTAAATGGAGCCTTGGAGTCCTGATATTCCCAGCCACCGTGCACAGAAAAAAGGTGGCTACTGAAAACCAAGGAATAGGGGGATTTTTAAAAAAACCCTCTGATGTCATGGAATGATTGAACTTCCAGTTCCATCCATTCTAGGATGTCTGCCACAACTGTGGCCTCCAAAGATCTATCCTCCTGATGCTCTGGCAACAGGAGAAAACCAACTCAGTCAAGTCAATGAGCTGGTGATACAGCACTCCGAGCCTGTGGGATGTCTCATCCTAGATAACCCTGGGCTGCTTCCCACTGTCTGTCCCCTTTCCTGTCCACCCTCCTTAATTGGCTTGGTTCTGCTTGCCTATGATCAGGAGGGGCACAGCAGCAGAAGTCAAATTCTAGCAAGGTGACAACAGCAGACCCAGAAGCGGTGTGGGCCAATCTCCATTGGTGAAGCCCCAAGAAGTTCCTTAAAAGCTCTCTGTCCTCATGTAAGGACGGACGTATCCCAGTAAACACTGCATATTATGACATGCAATATTATAATATGGAAAAGGGTATGCTCTGTCACACACACTTTCCTCTGCCCTGCTCCCCCCTCCTTTTGTTTTTGGTCTCTCAGAGTCAGATCAGATGTTAAAGGAAATGGGTATTACTTCCACTCACAATGCTTCCCCTGCAGGTGTCCTTCAGTCTCGAGAGACTATGGTAACATGCTCTGTATGGAGGACTTGGAACAGCATCCAGTGTCGTTGAGGAGGCCAATTCGAGAGTGACCATCCGTTCCACACTGAGGACAAATACAATCTGTCCCCTGTCCAGCTCCCTGATTTTGCTGGTTTCGGGACTGCCTCTTTGCTTCAGCCTGCTGGACAACGGTCTCTTCAAATTGGGAGAGGCCATGATGCAACACCTGCCTCCAGACTGAGCACTTCCCCTACAGGCACATAATCTTCCAAAGCACGGAAACAAAGCCATGATCATCTCTCAATGGCCAATTACAAAACAAAAGCAAGCTAAGTTTCAAAATGCAAATAGCACTTCGAAAAAACAGGCGGTCTTTTTACCGTTCCTAAGGGAGCTCTGCTTCTCACGATATCTTAACTTGCATAATCCTCAGTCACTGTTTTTCTCAAAAACAGTCAATGAATTCCACTGCCATGTGCTTTGAAATTCATAATGAACGACATATAGGCATCCTTCAATCTAGAGAGACTATGGTAACATGCTCTCAATCGAGGGGTGTCCTCTCCAGAGCATGAAGCCTGGGTAAAGTAGTATGGAAGATAAGCTGTTACCCAAGCAGCAGATCCCCCCTCTCCACATTTCTGAGCCAATACGACTGGTTCCAGCAACGTCGCAGGAGTTGGCAGAACGGCACGAGCTGCCTTCGGGACTCCAGCTCCGCATTTTGCCTCTAGGTTAACTCTTGAAGCCTTTTCCATGAGTGGATATAGCCACAAGGCAGTGGAGGTTTGAAATCGGAGTTTTCCTTCTCCGACATAATGATGGGCCTAATGAACAAGCAATATACTCTTATATTGTGGCGCAGTGGTTAAAACGCTGTAATAATGAACAAGCAATATACTCTTATTTAGATGGTTAAAAAAAATCACGCAGTATCATAAATTCATTTATCCATTACTCTCTGCAATATACTGAGATTCTCCTGGGGAACTCAGTGGACCATATAAAGAGAGGGATACAGACAGGTTTATCAGTGTTTTTCTCACTGCATTCAGAGATGCCCAAATCCTCAAAAAAAAAGGGAGAATCTAAACTGATTAGTTCATGCTTGTACGTCTGGTTTATCCATCCTGAAATTACTGAGTAATCATCACACATTAATTTAGGGGTGAGCAATCTGGAGCCCTTCCAGTGTTGCTAAACTGCAACTCCCACCAGCTCTTGCCAACCCTGCTCATCATTTGGGATGAAGGGAGTCTGCAACCCTACATCACTGTGCCATTGCACAGGGTGGTACAGTGGTTATAGTCAGACCAGTTAATTGTCACACTGGGACTGGGAAGATCAAGGTTCCAATCACTACTCAAAGCTTGCTGGGTATGCAAGTCACTGTCTCTCAACTTAACCTCCCTCACAGAGAAGTTGTGGAGGTAAAAAGGGAGATCTCAATTTGCATTACTCAGACGCATTTGGAGGAAAGATAGAAATAAATAATCATAGATCATATCTCACAGGTATTACCTCTATGCTGGAGTCAATTTCATCTTTTCAGCCCCCCAATTTTAATATATATTTATTTTCTAAATTAGGTTACTTTCAAGAACGTTTTATTAATCACATATTTATAATAACAGCTGCTGTCAAGTAAATTCTGAATGTTGACAACCCTTTTCAGGGTTGTCAGGCTGGGTTACCATTCCCTTTTTCCGGGGGCAACCTAGGCATATTCTGTAAAAAAATTATGAAGAATATATCACATACAGTATTGTATTTTTCATAAATTATATTCCAGAATATTCAGAGGAGTCTATTTACTCATTAAGCAACAAATACTGAATGGTCAAATGACAAAGACGGAGTTTGTCTGCCACTGAGCCCGCTCCACCCACCTCTACGGGAAAGCCATTCACGCACAGTCTCTGTGACATCAAAGGACAACCATTCAGGGGAACCTCGTGTCATCACGTTCCGGCCACTGAGGTAGCGCTGCTTTGCAATGTGCTCATCTGGTTTCAGGACCTGAGTAGAGAGAAAGCACAAAGGACACTGCTGAGTCGAGCCAGAGCAACACCTGTGTTCTGCCAGGGTAGAGAGGAATCTGTGGAATCCATGCCTAGTAAACTCACATTTCCGAAATCTAAACACTGGTCAGAATGTTGTTATAGCACCAAACCTACATTTAACTAATGTTTGCAATGCAGTTTGCAAATTATATTGGATAAATGTTAACAAAAAATACATATATTTTGGAAAATGTGCATTGAAAAACTTGAATAACTGGAGGGAAATCCCTTAAGAAAATTCATATGTTTCAAAAATATGTTATGCACATTTTACAAAACATGTCCAAAATGTGATTATATTGGGGAAAGTACTGTATATGAAAATACAGAGACATTTCTGTGCAGTCCCCAACTCACCACCAATAATTTGCAACTTGAGGCACAAATGAAACAAAATGAAGCATGCAGAAATGAGAACTTGAGCCAAATCACCACTCTTTATCCTGGACTAGGCTGTTGCCATCTACAAAAACCACGATACTTCTTTAGCCCTCTTATCAAGATAATATGTGCAATATATGGATACCACTGTGCAAACTGAAACTCATTATTTCAACAGAAAGAAATGACTATATCTAAGAAGACACATAATGTACACAAGGGTGCATACACACAACATGATACAACTGTAATGAGGCATAACAAGGTCCAGAGTCATGTTTGTCACTGCACAGCTTAGTGTTCCACTGATTTAGTATCACACGAGACCTCTCACTTGCCATTACATGAGCCAAAGATCACCTAGCTACATATTATGGGGTTTATGCTTGCACAAGGAGGTACTGGATACCTTCTTGTGTAAGCTCAGGGGGGAAAAGCCAGACTGTTCATGCAACAGATGGCTGCAAGCACAGAGGGGATGAGAAGGACTCTGGCCAAAGAATGTAGTTATAGGCCAAGGGCTGATCTGCAGAATAGCTGGGCATGCCATAGCTGCCAAAAACTGCTTGAAAATTCCACACATGCTGGTTCCCTTCACTGTGGCCAGCTGGTCTTGTGCCACCAGCTTCCAGCATGCCATCAGAAATACTTGAAATGCAACGCTTGCAAGCCTATGGAGTTGCTTAACCCTCTGCATGATAGCAGTTCCACTTAAGCGCTGGCCAAGAACAGAAAGCCAACTCAGGCAAGTTTTTAAAACAGCTACCACTCTACTATTGGGTATTCAATGCTTATGTAAGATGATCCTCTCTTTGACCTTTAATGAAACCATGTGAAGGCCAATGCTGTGTAGTGATCAGAGCATTGGACGAGGATGGGAGACAGGTGAGTTCAAATCCCTACAGAGATATGAAGCTCCCCAAGCATTGTGAAACTTCCACATTCTAAGGAGGAAGAAGTAGCTGAAAGTTACCCTTTCAGAAGTTTTTTCTTTTGATGAGATATTTCCTTTCCACTGATTGAATACTCCAGAGCTAATACATTTTGATGGCACACACCTCCTAATGCTAGGACTAGTGTGGGGAAAGGTTGTGCCATCTTTGGATTCATGCCTCCCCCAATTTCTCTCTCAGAAAACCTTCCTCCTTTAGCTTCACTGACATTAGAGAGATCAGGGCTGCCAGAGTCTCTGTAACAGAGGAAGAATTGCAAGGTTGGCTCTCTCTTGACACAGAAGGTGAAATCCTAGACATCCTATGGCTCTTGCATTGCCTTACAAAGAAGATTGTAGGAGTCTTAAGAGAATTATGGGATGGATGTCTCTGGTTCAAATCTTGGTTCAGCCATCAGGATCTTGGAATTGCTCTCTCTCTCTCAGCATCAACACTGTATATATACAGTAGAAGGGCTGGAAAGGACTGGACCCCTATTAAGATACTCCAGGCACCTTCCATAAATACTTGCCTTCTGCTGCCAAGACATCACCCTTTTATTTGTGCTGATAATGAGGAATAGGAGGTTCCATCAAAAGCTAATTTGCCCACACCATTCAACTTTCTGACTAGCAAGAGCAGAGATACCAAGACAACTGACAAGTGAGGGACACAGTAGCTTACTTGTATTTTAGTTCTACATTAATTACTTCCCTCACACAAACCCCAAACTTTTACAACTTGAGTCTTACTCTAAGGTAGTCTGGGAAGTATGATATCAGCCTACCTTACTATAAGTACTATAAAAATTAGGTTACAGAAGAGAGCTAGTGTGATGTAGTGGATATGGTGATGGACACAGTCTTGGGAGACCCAGTCCTTAATCAGTCCTTACTTAGCCATGGAAACTCACTGGGCAGGGTTTCAACAGTAAAACCTTGAATATTACCCCTACTTCAAAAACCCTTTGAAGACCATCAAAAATTGGATGCAGCTTGATGGCACAACACGATGTATGATGAACTCTTCCATGAATTCTCAGGAAAAGGGTTTATTATTATTATGAAGTATTACCACCATGCTTATTATTAGCGATTAAAGGCATCAGAAGCAATCCTAACATTAATCATAGTCAGGTGCTTGCCTTAGGTAGTAAATACTGGGCTCCGTTGAAGAAACACAACCGCCACTTTCTTTCCCACCAGAGAACATGCAAAAGTTACTCTTCTGGACAACAGCTCCCAGAATTCCCCAGCTGGCATGGCCAAAGGCTATGCTGACATGATCATTCTAGGAGTCACGGTGCAGAAATGTAGCCTTTCCAACTTCTATTTTAACCCATCCTTTCCTCCCTTCCCCCCCCCCC